AGGGAAAGGGGGAGAATCCTGTGGCTCGTGGAGAAATAATTGAGAGATTTTATGATCGAGGAATCAGAAGGCTTTCGAGGCTTTCCAGGAAAAGAATTTCTCTTTCCTCATCTCTTGGAAAAGTGGGGGATAAAGGTGGCCGATAAATAAACGGATGACAGCCTAAAGGGCGTAGGGGAGGAAGGATAAAAGAACACCGATCAAATATTCCCCGTGTATTAGTACTTCAAAAATGGCGAAAAAAAATGAGTGATTTTTTTTTTAACCCAGAAAATCCAGAGGCTCCTTTTATTTTTCCTGAAATAAATGGGTGGGGATGAATTACAAGAGCCAAATGTTTTTTCTGCATGAGAATCTTATCTTCGGCATTAAAAAATGAAAACGTGGTGTGCGCTGGGTGTAAAAAAGTAAACCACCTCTGCCTTGTCGTGGCATTCGGCGACTTCCTCCACAAATATAAAATTAAAGCGATACGCTTGCGTTTTTTTTTTTCTACATGAGTCACGTATGGGGGTCGGGTGAGGGGGATGGGGGGGAAAATTGTTGGGAAAGACGGTGGGTGGAGGAAGAGGGAATATGTGAACGAAAGAGGAGGCGTTAAATGCGAGGAACGGACGACGACACAAAGTCACCAGTCATCGTCGGTACTTTTCGTATTTTCGAAGACGACACTAGCCTGTAAATTTGGATCTCAGCCAAACATTTTGTTGTTTCTGAAATTTCGGGGACGACAGTTATACACCATTTTCTTGCATTCTTTTCGCGAATCTAACTTACGGGCTCTGAAACTCTTTTAAACTCTATTATTCCATTTAAAATAGTTCCCATTACCATTACCATTGACATGAATTTAAAATTAATTTCAACAAGAATAGAATCTTGAGAATTTATGAATGTGTTAAGATGCGTATTAGTTAGTTAATTAATATATTCAATAATGCGGAAATACTTGGCGATCGAATAGAGACAAGTCTGTCATGGAATTGAGGTCGAGAGGGTTTTAAAATCTTGCAGAAGGATTTCAATCGGGAAATGCACCTCGATCTTTATATTGTGGATTTATTTCCACGTGTTTACCTTTTCGGGTTTTCATATTTTGTTTTGCTCCCTGTTGAATAACAGCGAGGTAAAGCAAATACTACGATGCACAAATCTAAAAGCTTATTTCTCATTCAGACTTTTTCGACGCGACATGGGCTACGCTAGTCGCGGTTAGGTGTAATATATAATATATAATATATAATATATAATATATAATAGGATTACACATTTCTTTAAACGATAGGCGGAAAAAATATCCCCGGAAAAAATAGCCCACACACCCAAAACGTGTTAAAACCCACCCAATTTGATAGACCATAGGAAAATTAGAGCCCCTGAAAAAATAGACAACGAAAAAAATAATTAAATTAAAAAATAATTAAATTGAGCGAGTTTTAACACGTTTTAAATGTGTGGGATATTTTTTCCCTGGGATATTTTTTCCGGGATTCTCTTTAAACACTCTCGAATTTTATATTTTTTATATTCGCGTGGATTTTTTTTCTCCTCACCCGGATTTTTTTCATTCCCAACCCATGTTCGAAATTGTAATACGTTATTATTCCATTCTAATCTCTAAACGCCCTGTTTACGGCATGCTAATTCCAAACCGCAATTTATTTCAACTTCTGTCCTCTGCGGTCATTATTTTTGTATCCTATTGTTTGCATAGGATGTTTTTAATTGTTTCTCGGTATCCACTGTCATTTTCACTTATTTATCCTTCAAGATGCACGAGAAAAAACATCAGCACAAGCAAAACAAAACCCAAACGGAAGACACTCGTAAATGATTCTAGATTGCCAACAAAATTGTGGGTCTATCTATTTTTTTAAACAAAAATAATGGCCTCACGGGTGGTCTCAAATGGTTCTCTTCAAAAAACCATCAATTTTTATTAAATCTCCCGTCACGACAATAAGTCGACAATTTGATACCTCAACGATGAAAATTAAATTCGTTCGCCCCATAACTCCATTATTTATGTATCACACCCCACGGATATTTCCACGAATCCTCCCCCATTACCCATAATCTCCGCCAATCAGCGCTGTTTATTCCCCCACTCTCAGATATTGAGCACAAAAAAAGCGAATTGGACTTGAAACGAAAAGTAAAAAAAAAATTGTACGTAACAAATCACGATCGCGGTCTCGCGTGACACGAAATTAATTCACGTGCGACGGCAGAGAAGTAAAAAAAAATTATAAAAAGGGAGAATAAAGGAGAAAAAAATTCAGAGAATCGTGCCGTGGTCGTTGCGTAGGTGCAGGCAACGAGGACGATGAGGAGGAGGTTTTCATGTAGCCCCCGTCGATTATTTGTCCTTCGTTGAAGTAACGAATTGATGTTGTCTTTTCCCTTCCCATTGACGTCTGGAGGTCGTGGCACCCCTGGTGTTTTCCCTCTGTTAATATCACCCCTTTTTTTTTTCGTTTACGATGAGTATTGAGACATTAGAGAGTGGAATTGCGAGTGTAGGAGACGCTCAAGAGAGCTGTCAGTCAAGATCGTAAACCTAAGGCACGAGCCCTTTTTCGACTTTTTTTTTTGTTTTTTCTTTTGTACAGCCGTTGTTTTACGAGCGCGTGTTTACTGCTCCATTCGTCTTTCCCTTTTTTTCTCGATCATCCCCCATTTCTCATCGCGTCAGTTACGCGTCTTTCGTCTGTAAACTATCGATTAATTGGACGCAAACGATCGCTGATTAATTGATCGTAAAGAAGGTATAGCAAAGGACGTGGGAAAAGATTTCTTGCTAGGATGTTAGGTTTCATTAGCGATGACATGTTAGACTATTTCAATATTACAAAATTATCACTATCAAAATAATTTATTGTACACCGTTATTTCATTTCCGGAAGCTAAAAAAATAGAGAAATGTTTCGAGCTCTCGAATCATTTCACAAATCGTCACTCAATACAGGACTGAATAACTCATCGCTGTAATGGGCCGTGTCGAGCGATGAAATGGAAAAGATCGTGTAAAAAAATCCAAACTGGATAAAAAAAAAATGAAATGGGAGAAACAGACGAGGTTATATTGAGAGCGATAGGAGTCCCCGATGAAGTTTTTCTCGCACCACCACGACTGTAGCTTTCGCCCACAGCTGCAGCACATATATACATGCATGGCTTATATACGTACATGTACATGGGTGTAACAGGCGAGGGCATGACAGCCAGTGCTTGGTCGGTTATAATTAGACAAGGACTACAGTCCGTTGAGAAACTCACTATATATTCACACACGTTCTCAACCTCAAACGAATCGTGTCCTCATCACTTTTTTCTTACTTTTACCCCGCCGCATAGTCGGCCATTCATTTTACCCTTTTCTCCTTATTTCTTTTTCTCTTAGATCATTCAAGTGCTCCGAATTTAACTCGTTCTAACGGAAGCCAGCCACAAAGTCGAACTCCTTTTTTTTTAAATCCCCAGATACTAGGGCATTAGACTCGCCGATTAGACAGAAATTCCCAGATTTCCTCCCCTTAGGGCCCATGAAATTCCAATTTTTTTAAACTCTCCTGCCACCGTCTCTCCTTCATTTCATTAGTCCTTGGGTAAAAAACGGGTACTCGGAATGGAACTCAAAGAGATATAGAAGAAAAAAATAAAGGGGTGGAACAGGGTGAAGAGGGGCGGTGGGGAGGAAGGGGGGGAGGGGGATTAACATTCATAGCGCGTAACGTAACGTACAATATGGATGTCGGATAGAAACGAGTGGAGGCGCGAGTTAAACCTCAGGGACGGCCAGGGCCCAGTTGTTGGCTAATACAGGGACAGCAACTCTCGGCCCGATGGAAACTGGTTGGGTACGGTTGGCCGGTTTGTGGGCTCGACAGGATCCCAGGGCCGTATCAGTATTCACTGTTAAAAAATTTTAATTCATTTTCCAAGCTTTTTCCACCCTTGAAATATTAATTGCCCTATAACACATCCATAATTTCAGTCAAGTCGACAACCGTGAACATTTCATAATTTTTATTTTTATAAATTTCCGTTACTCTCCGTAAGATATCGTTTTGAAGTAATTATTTCTTTGATTATTTCAATTAATCTGAATTTAGGGGAAATTTTCTGGGAAATTTGGGGACTTTTTAAACAGTGGGCCCAAGAGGCGCTCTGTCCATTGGTGTTGGATGATGAGGGGGAGTGTGGTAAAGGGGTAGAGTTGAGGAAGAGGGGAGGTGGGAGAGGAGGGAAGATTGGAAGAGGATGGAGAATTATTGAGAGTCGGCGGTGCCACCCGTGGTGCCGAACGCGATCGCCGGGGTTCGATGAGCTCCCAACGATTCGCCGCGCTGCGGGTCGTTTTCTCACATGGTGAGGTCTTGCCAAATTGTCCATCGACTTGTGGCTTAGCAAATAATCAGTATTACATCTCTGATAAAGTCATTCATTTTATTCTCCCTTAACTCCAACTTCTTCCCTTCCACAAAAATTTATAGTTTCATTATCCCTCATACTTCAGTCAAAAACTCCAGTTAAAGTTAATTTTTTATTTCTCAATTATTACTTTTTCTAATAATAATAATAATTATTATAATAATATATTTTATTATATAATAATTATTATGATTGAATTTAGGAGAAAAAATGATGGAGTGCTGTATTTAAAATAATTTCCGAGAGGAAAAGAGAAAGAGAAAATAAAAAATTGTGGAGATACTCGAAGTATCTTAACTCCTCTGAAAATATCGCATGTGTCACGCACTCGGTCGCCGTCTGTGTCTCGTTGTATTACCGTGCAAACACAATAGCCTATCATCTTTGAATTATTAGCATTTAACAATACTGTAGAAAAATGAGAGAAAACCGAGAGTTACAGCTGCCAAGTTACTCCTCATTTTTACCCTCTATCTTATCTCGTGAATGTTTATAAGTGAGTGTTAGTTTGAGTTATGCGACCGCGATGAACAAGCGATATTACCCGTCTACCGTATCTCGGATTGTGGAGGCGAGATAGGAATATTTCGAGAGTTAGAATTTTTTCTTTGCTCTGTTGTTAAGGAACTTTATGGTTATCTCGGAGGAATTTCACGGCCCAAATAAATCATCTCGATGGAGATTTCATTTTTTCCATCAAGAAACATCGAAATTTCAATTTCCACGCGTTTTATCCAAACATTTCCATGAGGTTACGTGTCTCGGATAATTAATTAATTAATTAATAATTTTATCAAGATGCAGAAGAGATAATTCAGCGGTTATTTTTATTTGCCGAAGCAAACGGTCATTTGTCGCATTATTGGATGTAGTTTGGGACCAATGGGGGAATGAAGATAGACAAAGTGAATGAAGGGGAAGCACGAGGGAAAAAAGGGGAAAAAAATAGAGAGGGGAAGGAACAGTGGAGAACAGGGCCCAGAAGTTTCAGCATCCCTTTCGTCTTTTCTCTTCTCCACTGGCTCCTTTGGAGGTTTCTCTCTTGTACTGCAGCTGCCTCGTTACTCTCCGAATTTTATGTCGGCAAGTTCGTGATGCACGAAAAGAGCACCGACGTGGAATCTTTATTGCAGCAGGAGGTACGCATTAATGTACCGTCCAGCCTCTCTCTCAATTTTTTCCCCATTCTCCTCTTATTCATTCGTTTTTATCATATCCTCTTCTTCTTATTTATTTTTTTACTCTTCTGCATCCCAACCGTCTATATCTCAACGATACGCGGGACAACGATTTGCCGGGCTTTGAAGGGGTTATCCAATGAGAGATCGCGCCAAGCTAAAGTACGACTACGACCGCGATATCAGACATACCATGAGTGACGCCAAACATGAATTCAAGATCCAAATCGCCATTACATCTTATTGAACCGCTCAAAAATATTTCCTCTATTTTTCGCCTTTTTTCTCATCATTCAACGATGAAAATATAAATTATTACATAAATCACACTCGGACGATTGATAAAAAAAAAAGGACAAAAATACGGGCAAATAGTTTTACTTTTTAATTCAATAATGGTTCCAGGAATTTTCTGGTTTTACTTATTATTACAATCTTAATTTCTGAAAGATGTGGAATTTTCAATTCCCTTCACGTGTCGTATCAAACGCGCCATGAGTGACGTCTAACATGAGACAAAGATCCAAATCGCCATTACATCCTCTTATTGAATCGTTTTGTGCGCTATGGTACACGTGTTATCTTACCTTTTGTTTTTCTACTCTTTTTTTCTCTTTCGATATTCAAATGGCATGCGTTGCTGCAGGTATGGGCTCGACCGTTGGGGGGAATACGTATGGGATAAAAAAATGACCGTGAGATGGAGAGGCTCATTTGCAAATGTGAAATACAACGTGTGTGTGAACAAAGATGAATGGTAATTATATTCTGTGATTGAAAAACTCAGGGCTGTGAGATTTCTCTGCAGTTGATGCTCGGTGATTGGGGGTTATGGATTATGCAATAATTGCTGATCGATTGAGATGACCGATTGATGATTGGGCATTGATTGAAGGGTGAGAAAAAACCTTTCAATTTTCCCATTTTTTTTCAATCTAAATTTCTCTTAAGAACAATCAATCGAATACTTGTCACCGATAATTACCAGTGAAAAATAAAACGCTCGAAAGACGTAACGAATAATCTTCTTGGCAATCGGTAGAAATCTCGTCAGTGGATTGCGATAATATTTCATGGTAGAGATAAATGAGGTAAATGACAGTACTTCAAAGCCACTGCTATCACAACATCTGAGAATACATCTCGATAACTCATATCGTTAATTAAACTGAGTGGAGAGTGAAGCAAGTGGAAAAAACAGATGGAAAACGGGAATAAATAAAAATATAAATTTTATATTAAAGTTAAAAGCGTAACGATCACGATCTGGCAAATGCGGGTTTACTTGGTGCTGCCCACACGAGCCGGTTTAATTAGTCTCTCGCGTCTTTTCTGCTGTGTTAGCCCTCCAAGAAGGGCTCTGTCTCATATCTGATGGTGGAAATCTCCGATTATTCGACAACACGCAATACCACCCGATATGCATGCGACATCCGACACTTTTACTACATTGTAAGATATACGGTAAAGCCGATCGCGTGTCGATATTTGTGCGGTGCCTCTCCTCAACTACTTTCATCACACGTTCTCACCATTTTCTTATCTATTTTCCGTTGTGTCCAATACTATTACAAATTTATTGAAATATCAATGGCAAATCGTCACTAAATTTCATTCACCTCGAAAAAATAGATTGAGCCTTTCTGTGAATCTTTCTGTGAATTGGATTTGGAGTGGATTGAATTGACTTGGAGAGATGTCGAAATGAAAACAAAACTATCATCAAAATATTGATATTCTGTTGGGTGCAAGTTGTCATTGATCAGATATGGTACACGCCACAGAGTCCCCTGAACAGTATTTCCATACAATGTAATTAAGAGAGTGCAGGTCGGTCTGGTGATCCTGGGTGCGACGACACGCACCACTAATGCACGTTGCGCTCTGTCGACACTCCATTGCATTCTCCGCCTTGTGGCAATGTTGACTCCTTCGCGAGTTGCCTTGTACCATCCAAAGATACTTCTATCAATCCATGTAAAAATTGGTGAAAAATTATAGCAACTGGTGCACACGCATACCCGAGAGTTGATACAGCGTAAAGTGCATCATCCGGGCTGTAGATAGGGGAGAATCTGGGACCAAGCTTGGGCCAACCTCGAGCCAACCTCGAGCCAACCTGCAGGGCAACTTGTCAGCCGACATCATTATCGATGCCGGCAGGAAAGTCGTTCCTTCCTCCTTGTCGCCTTGTCGCCTTGTCGCCTCGTCGCCTTTCATTTCATCCAATTCTCTCTTTTCTTCAGTCCTGTCTATATTTATTACGACTCTGGTATTTATATCTTCGCTAGCCTCTGTAATAACTAATAGTGAAAAGCCCCTCTACCACGGATTCCACCGCCATATTGGAGACACGCCACGTGTTATGTCTTTCTAGATAAATCAAGGCGTTTCGTTAATGTTTTTTGTCTCATTTTTGTGGATACCTTGTTCTGGGGGGTCGTTTGTTATCGCACGAACATGAGTTCGGGTTCAATTATAGACCGGGAGACATCACACTTTTTCAATCATGAAAAAATAAAAGTCAGTTTTACAGACTTCGTGGAGAGACAATTTTCCAAATTTATACGGTCACTGCAATAAATTTTTCCAATACCAGTTTTAAAAGTGCTCTCTAGAATTTTTCATCGCTGTTAATTCCAAGTACCTCGCACTCCCATTTTTCTGTGGATAAAATGGAAATTCAACACGCGACTCTAAAGAAGACCCGAATTATAGTTTGCAGATGGAGAAAAATTAATCCCGCAATTCCGTCTCATGTAAATTTCTCGATTTTATCGATAGCACACGAGAATTTTATTGTTTATAGAAGCCGTCCAGTATTAACGGAAATAGTATACTTAAAAAGCTATTTGTCAAGTCCTTCATGAATCAAGATAGTGGACTCCACAGGCATTACAATGCACTTTTTTGTTCGATGACTTATCGGGCTTTTTTTCTTCTTCTCGTTACTCTCTCGCTCTTCCCTTTTGACATGTGCAGACGGTATTTATCCCTTTGGAATCGTTCTCAATAAACTTACATCGTATAAACTTTGTGCCTATATCATTCTCGCGTTCTCCCGCGAGGCTAAACGCCCCGGCAATTTCGTTTAATGGCCCGTAACGAGCGTCGCAATCTACATGCGCTCCACGATGCAGTGAACTTGGCCGAGGAAATATTGCCCCAAAGATATTCAAGGATTTTTCGGTATCATTGCACTTTATATCGTGGACATTGATTTTAATTACAGGATTTTAGTTACTTTGTGCGACCCGCAACGAGGAATTTTATTATTTTTAGTTGCTCATTTTTATCAAGTCCCACTGGTATTTTCCATCGGCTATGTCAATTTTTCAACTCGAGGCATGGATTATATTTTGATAAAAATGTTGCTCAGTAATTCTTGAAAATGGCCACTGGGGAAAAAATAATTCAACGACGGTAGAAACAATTTTTCGTGTATGTCGTTATCAAATTTTGTCCAAGTGGAAAAATGAAATATTTTTTATTTTTCTGATTTTTCAAAGAGTATCCTCTTCTGGTGTCACAAGATATATCCATACGAGACGTGCTTCCGTCGGTGAAAGATAGTCATTTCTGTTTCTCTTTGGAATTCCTGAGAATAGCCTGTGAGAGTCCGCCAGACACAAACTACGCAGACGAATAATAATAATAAAAAGAATGTACCTGGTTGACGGATATGAGGGAAATACAAAAACCCGATGAAACAATCTTACCCCGGAATAAATCATCCGATATTTATTTATCACGTCGAACGTACATTTATCTTATCTATTTGCGGAGAGTGATTCACATATTTTTCAGGCAGATAAATGTCAGATTAAAGTGAAAATACTCGTGCCATTTCGACTCATCTGCTCTCTCAAATCCCCAAAAATCTCGGACTTTTATATTTCAATCACTCACTTCTCATAACTGATAAATTCACCTTTTTATTAAACGTGTGACATAAAAAAACAAAAACAATTAAAATGAGTGAAAATTTATGGGAGTGCAAAATTCGGAGAAGATTTTTCCCGGAGTAGCAATAAACATTTCAAGGCATAAAGTACGAAGACTTGGTTTCCTCATTAAAAGCACAAAATGCCAATTTCCATATATTGAATGCGTACAAATGCAAACAGATAAACTCCAAACTCAATTAGCAACCGGTGGTATAGAGATTGTTATCACCCACCACAAAGTGCACTAATAAATGCATTTATCGAGAGGCAACGAGTGGTAAATACATATCCCCATAATCCACATGCTAGTGAGATTATTCTAGGATGAGTAACACACGCAAGGGGTTGAAGTAAAATATACAGAAGATTGTAGATCCCTTCGAGACAGAGGAAGAAGCCCTCCGAAGGTACCCCGGGGGTTTCCTCGACAAAAGAAAGCGTGCACGAGTGTGGAACCGAGTTTTGTCT